ACTCACTATACCACGAGTATGGGGAAGGCCTATTAAGCAGCCTGTGGCTGCTCACTATATATAATATATAGATAAAATAAATACGAAACATACATGGCCATATACATAATTACATAAATAATTTCATAAATATACACTAGACTTCAAATATATCAATATGTATATATTTAAATTCTATGTGCATATTTATGTTAAGTAATTTTATTGATTGCAATTTGGGGGACCTGCCTGACAACCCAGGCCGAGATAATTTAATTTGCTAGCACTATAATTAACCCTGTAACTTTCCAAAACGCCCTAAAATCTGTACATGGGGGGGTACTGTTTTACTCAGTAGACTTTGTTGAACATAAATATTAGTGGTTCAAAACAGTAAAAAACATATCACAGCGCTGATAGTCAGTGAAAGTAAAGTTTTTAGCATTTTGCACGCACACACACACACACACTTTGACTGATGATATCATTGCTATGATACGTTTTACTGTTTAGAAACACTAGTATTTGTGTTCAGAGAAGTCTCCAGAGTATAAAAGTACCACCATGTACAGGTTTTATAGTGTTTTTGAAAGCTACAGGGTCAAATATAAAGCATGATTTTCTGTTTTTACACATTTAATTTGCCATATTGGTTATGTTGCCTTTGAGAGCGTATGGTAACCCAGGAATAAGAATTACCCCCATGATGGCATACCATTTGCAAAAGAAGACAACCCAAGGTATTGCAAATGGGGTATGTTCTGGCCAAATTTCGCTTTCATAATATTTTTTTTGCATTTTTAACACACACAAATATAAATGATAACTTTGGCCAGTATTTGTGACTAAGTGGCTACTACAAAAAACTGGACATACCCCATATTGAATACCCTGGGTTGTCTACTTAAAAAAAATAATAATAATAAAAAAAAAGTACATGTGAGGTGTGATTCAGAGAAAATATATATATTTTGAAACAGCAATGTCCCACTTGTACTTATAGCAGTAACTTTCCAAAAAAGCTAAGAACATGTTAACATTGGTGTGACAGATCACCCAGTCCCTGGATTATAATTACTTTGTTTCACTCTTCTATGTGTTCGGGACATTACATTCCCCTTCTTTTTATTATTATTTTGTTCACCTAACGAACAAACTCCTGAACAACTAGACCATCCATATGCGGAGTGTGCAACACATTAACCTCTATCACCTCATTAACACTCCTAAACCGCAAACATTCTAAGCGGTTGGATGGGTGGTCGCTGTTTGGTATACGAACATGTGGCAGTGGCCAACTTTAGCCGCGAACACACAGAGCGGTGTTTGGCCGTTGAGTGCATGGAACTCAAATCGGAAACACTCAATGGCGCGAACACTGCTAGAACTTCTACTTTTATCGAAGTTCGGTAAAACATATGGGAATTGAAAGACGTTCAGTGGGAGCAAGCTCCCGAACAAGAAACAGACTGAGTATACCCACGATCCGCTACGTCCGGTACTTTTTGTAACTTTTGTGGGGTTTCCTTGAGTTTTGTGGGGTACTTTCAGGATACTGTAAAATGTATGTTTTTTGTGCCTGGAGATAATTGAGTTTAGTACAGTTGCTGACTCAATTACCGTATATACTCGAGTATAAGACAAGTTTTTCGGCACATTTTTTGTGCTGAAAAACCCCAACTCGGCTTATACTCGAGTCAGTCTGTATTATGGCAATTTAAATTGCCATAATACAGACCAGGACCGCCGGGCTCATTACAAGCCCGGCGGTCCTGTTGGGGGCTGACAGCGCACTGCATTCATTCTATACACACACTGCATTCATTCTATACACACACACAAACACACACTCTGCATTTATTCTATACACACACACAAACACAAACTCTGCATTTATCCTATACACACACACACAAACACACACTCTGCATTCATTCTATACACACACACAAACACACACTCTGCATTCATTCTATACACACACTGTAAATAAATATTCAATTCATTTTATTTAGAAATTTACCAGTAGCTGCTGCATTTCCCACCCTAGGCTTATACTCGAGTCAATACGTTTTCCCAGTTTTTTGTGGTAAAATTAGGGGCCTCGGCTTATATTCGGGTCGGCTTATACTCGAGTATATACGGTATATCTCAGGCACAGGGGAGGGATTAACCAGTTTTGTGTGGGAGTTTCCTGGACCTGAGAGCTAATGTAGTCATGTGTATGTTTTATTGTAGTCTACTCTCTGGTCCAGTGAAGAATGACCCTGGAATATTTGACAGGAAACCCCTTGCATAGGGACTGACATAAAAGGCGTGTGTGGCCCCATAAAAAACCAGTTGTCCCACAGCATAGAGCCTCGTCTCATGATTGTGAGAGAAAGCTATAACAGCTGTCTCCCTACTGCTTAGAGTGCTGTATCACTAGCTCTTGTAAGAGCTGTTCCTGTTCTGCATTACAGCATCCCTCACACTAGGGGGAAAAAAACATGGGGGGGGGGGAAACCCTCTACCTGTTGGGGTGGCCACCACAATTGGGTACTTCTAAACTCAGGACAAAATTTACAAACTATTTAGCATGGGTGTTTTTTGGCGGTTGTAGATGCGTAACAGATTTGGGGGGTCAAAGTTCGAAAAAGTGGGGTTTTTAAATTTTTTCAACATATTTTATAAAAAAAGTTATAGTAAATTAAATGATATGATGACAATAATGGTATCTTTAGAAAGACCATTTAATGGCGAGAAAAACAGTATATACTATGTGTGGGTACAATCAATGAGTAAGAGGAAAATTACAGCTAAACACAAACAAAGAAAATTGAAAAGCAGTCTGGTCACTAAGGAGTTAAATATGGAGGTAGGGAAAAAGGGAAATTAAAGCATGATTTGTAGAGTAGCTAATTTGCCCTTTAACTGAGTGAAAGTCAGTATACATTTTGAGGCGGCATTTACAGTTCCCTATCCATAACTTTTTTCGTAAATAAAACTATCATTTAACCCCTTAAGGACACATGACATGTGTGACATGTCATGATTCCCTTTTATTCCAGAAGTTTGGTCCTTAAGGGGTTAGTAACTGAATTTTTTTTGTTCACTTTTTTTTGTCTTCTCTTTTTTTGAATGAAGATCTAAAGCCGTTCAGTGTGAAAAATCAAAATAGATACAATCAGGAAGGGAGCATTTTTTTCACAGCATTGTATGTAATCTCTTACAAAGAAAATATGATAATAATGGAAATACCTTTCAGACACCGAAGAATTTTCTGATCCTGATTCATCCACAAAGCCTCCTACATCTGCAGAGATTTTCTGGAACTATAAATAGAAAAAAAAAAAAAATTTAAATACATGATTTTGCAGATCAACCATTATTATTTCATAATAAAGAACTAGGAGTATCAAACATGAGGTATGTCAATAATGGCAGCTATTAATAATACATAAAAGTTATTTATATATTTAAAAGCTATTTAAGTGTAGAAACAATTTGGTTGGAATATATTGGACAAGACTAAGCAAACAATTTGATAAATCTAAAAAGCCCTCTTAAAAGTTTGCAATGACATCCAAATTGGCATGGAACAATGAGATTAACCGGAGCTATTTTCCTTGATTTTGCCAAGGCCTTTGACACAGTAGACCATGGCATTCTTTTGCAAAAACTTAAAAACTCAGGCATTAGACCGGACAATTCGGACACTTCCGAATGTCCGAATAGCTGAATTGCCGAATTGCCGAAGCACAGTATTGCCGAAGTACTAATATACCTATCCAGTGGCAGAATGAAGAATGTTACACTGTATACAAACATAGCCAGGATTCAGCTGTAAGCATTTGCAACACTTACAACAATCAAGTAACATACATTCATATAAAATGTAAGTTAGCCAGTCAATGGAATGACAGGAATGAAAAAGTAGATAGATCCCTAATATCGTGGGAGTTAGGGAGTTATCTACTAAAAGATTACTTAGTATTAGTAAATTATGCTCCCACTCATTATAACGCGAGTAGGGGCATGTCTATTAAACAGTGAGCAGCCTGTGGCTGCTCACGAAAATAAATAAAAATAAATTGTTTCACCCATCCCGAGCCCCCACCCGTGCCGCGCGAGTGGGGGCTTCTAACCTGAATGGGGACCTATTGCCCCCCCCGGCGCCCACCCCTGAATGTCTGGTGGGGCCCTAAAGTAAAATAAGGGGGGGGACCTATGGTCCTCCCCCGTGACCCCCACCCCTGAGCGGCAGTTGGGGGTCCCTAAATTAGAATAATTGTCCCCCCCTTATTCTAATTTAGGATGTCATCCGGCATGGGAGACGTATTGAGCATATGCGGCCGGCTGCGGGGGAAACCTAAAGTGCATATATACATATCGTGAGGACATCCAGTGTCGTTATAGCACACTTTTCGTGTTCTATGAACGAGGAAGTGTCCTCTAGTGGCTATCTAGAGGAGAACTTAACCCTCAAGGTAAATATTGCAGTTTATGAAAACTGCAATAATTACACTTGCAGGATTAAGGGTAGTGGGAGTTGGCACCCAGACCACTCCAATGGGCAAAAGTGGTCTGGGTGTCTGGAGTGTCCCTTTAAGTTTAGAAAAAAAATAACTCATACAGTTGTCCAAACTAATTCTCCTCTTCTCTCCCCCCAGCATCTCTTCTTCCTCCTCCTCTCCCCAGCATCTCCTCCTCCTCTCCCCCAGATTCTCTTCTTCCTCTCCCCTTCTCCCCCAGCATCTCCTCCTCTCCCCCAGATTCTCCTCTTCCTCTCACCTTCTCTCCCCAGCATCTCCTCCTCTCTCCCAGATTCTTCTTTCCCCCGAGCATCTCATCTTCTCTCCCTCCAGCATCTTCCCTTCACTACTCTGGCATATCCCTCCTCCCCCAGTATATACTCCTCTCCCTTCCAGCACATAAATAATGTTTCATTTTTTTGGTGTGGGTCGGGGTTTGAAGTCCACCCAGGCTCCCTACCTGGTGGACCTAATTCCTTCCCACTGCTGTGAGGGGGCGTGGGTGCAAGGGAGCACTGACTTACGTGCTGTTCCAGCACTACTCCCTCTGCTGATGCCGCTGTCTCTCAGCGGCATCAGCAGAGGGAGCAGTGCTGGAACAGAAGGTAAGTCAGTGCTCCCTCACAACCCTTCATCCCACCCACCAGTGCCATCTTAACAACATTATGGGCCACGGGCAAAGCAGTGCACTGGGGCCCTGCCTACACATAACTCACAGGAATAAACAATGTCATTATAGATAAAATTAATCTTATATTTATTAGTATCTCCAACAAATGCAGTACATACATAAAATACATACACACAAACTGCTGAACACATTCACACACTGACTGCAAGAATACATACACATACACACAGTCTGCTGAATACACACGGACAGACTGCTGAATACATAAACACAGTCTGTTGAATACATACACACAGTATGTATAGGTGATGGAAGTGCACTCATTCCTAAATTATGGGATTCAGGGTGCTCCATGGATAAGTCCCAGTACCAAAAAAGTACCAATTGTAGAATTGAATATAGAAGGTAATCCAGGCACTCCAATGAATTCCAAAATAGAGGCAAATTTTTATTGGAACAAGAAACCAAAAAGCAACGTTTTGACCCCCAAGACCCTAGAACGCTGTTGGGAAAAGTTAGAAAAATAATGATAGATGGAAGATTGGGAACAATTGAATAATCCAATGTAACTCCACTTTCTCCTGTAGAAAATGGAAACTTGAAGAACTTTAAGTTCTTCCCAAAAATATTTTGGGCAACTACCCCCAAAGACCTAGAGTGAAGACTCAAATCAGCAGAGTTAAAAACCCCAAAAGAAGATCCCATGGGGAAAAGATTCCCTGAAGATAGGAACTAAGTACGAAAGAGCCTAGCAGATACTGGTGATTTGGAGACAAACCTCTGAAAATCAACTGATAACCGATAATCAACTGATAATTTGACCTTGAGGATCTCTGGCTTTAAACTATCCGCAAAGCCCATCCGAAGGAAAAAATAAAAATGAAAAAATAAATAAAATAAAGGTTAAAAACTTGCCTGATTTTCTTTGAACCAATATCTTAAAAAACAACACCTTCCATACTTGGAACAAGATCCATTTATAATACAAGAAATTGTCAATAATTTCCTGAGACAAAACATTATCCTTTAGTATCTGGTATACCTGAACCCGGTCGTCAGCTTGAATTACAAAGTTGAGAAGAGGTACCCTTGAGAATTCCAGAGGTACCCTTGAGAATTCCAGGATGCCTGTAAGGTCCCCAAAGATTCCTCTGGATAATTTTAGATGAATGGTGAAACAGCTACTTGCCACCAAGGGAGGAAGATTATCATTCTCACCTTTATAATCCTATAGGATCTTGGGGAATAGGGAACCAGGAGGAAACTATAGGTTAGACTGGAATTCCCAAGAAAGAAAAGGAAACCAAAGCATGTTTGATCTAGAAGTCCTGTGATCTAGAAGTCCATGCTGTTTGATCTAGAAGTCCCAGTTCCATAACTGGATAATCAAATTCTTCCTATCGTTTGGGTGAAGATAAGGGAGTATGAACCAATCTGCTTTGTATTAAAATGTTGACTACTCAATTCTACAGCTAAACAGAGGAATATTAAGTTCTATGCATAAGTGAAAAACTAACCCAAGCATATCCTGGAACAAGATTTTTCAAACAAGAAGTAGTACATAATTGCTACCGATGTAGAACTATCCGACCAGATCTGGACAAGATAATACCTGGTTTTTATCCGAAAGGCAAAGAGAGCTAGCCAGATAGCCTTCGATCCAATGTAGTTGGATAAATTTTTTTCGAAACATCTCAGCTAATTTCCCTTCAACCCTATGAGAACCTAGCTGAGACCTGAAGCATCAGTCGTAAAATTCTGAACGATCGACTCGAGAACTAGAACAAAAAGTAAGAACTGTCTGGCATCTTTAATTTCTGCCTGGTTCAGAAAGGAATGAACGAAGTATAGGATTTTACTGTAAAATCTTATCAGCAACTGTATCTGGCCTCTGAAGGACCTGTAAACATTGCTATGCCTAAAAAAGTGGAAGAGACCAAGCAGGTTCTTACAAGACGGGAACCAAAATTATTTCCCTAGTATCTTGTCTACTGAAGTAGAAGAGAGATTTCAGGTGATAAGGACAGAGAGACCACAATTTTTTTCTTTAGGGAATTACCGTTCTCTGAGAGTCAAAAACCCTTGTCAAAGGTTTACACCTGAACGGTTCCTTGACAAACACCAGAACTGCATACTTCTTGTAAAGGGAATTCTTTATCAGAAGATTGATTAGCATCCACCTGTATGCTGTACAAAAACACCCTAACCTTTAGGGGCTGGTGTACAAAATTTAATTAGGTACCCCTGAGGAAGCAGTATTGTAGAGATTCAACAAATTTATGGATGGCAACATTTAGCATAGTGGAAGAATCTTAAGGGGCAATTGCCATAAGCTCTTTCTTAAAAGAAAACTGCAGACAAACCTAGGCAGTAAACCATCCCTGTCATACCGTATCTATGGCAGTGCAGGGTATAAATTGAACTTGGTGGAACTACCCTTAATCAATAGACCTGCAGCTGTACTAGAACTTGCTTCAAGCCCAGCAAACATGAGGAAGAAATAATTTTCCATGGAGACTAGTTCATACAGGTTACCATCTTTATTGGCCGAAGCGAGACTGATTACATAGATATACAGTCTGCATAAGACAATACCCATGATCCAGGCCTTACTTAACCATAATTGGGAAGCAGAGGCTAGAGTAGAAAGAATATCTGCAAACTGCATTTCAAAACCTGTTTGATGCAGACTCTGCAGGAACCAATATTAGGAAGCATTTTCTTTAAAATTGCCATTCCAATAGTCAGTTAGCTCAAACCTGTCTTTGTAACTGACAACATAGGACTTGGAATTTAAGACAAACATAAAATGTGCAACCATGGAGTGAAACACAGGAAAAGTTCTGCCCCATCTGAAAAACAGACTGCCTTTTTAGAAACTGATATCAGGTGAAACTAGTTGAGGTGGTGAGAATGCTAATTGCAACAGAGCTTTGTCTACAGCAATTGCTAAAAGCCTACTGCATGTTTTAAGAAAATAAACACTGCAGCTAGGATCCTGGCATTTAAAGAATCCATCTGCTACAACAGTATATTAACTTAACCAAAACCAGATTTTAAACATCAGCTTCCTAAGGATAACATACAGAGGATAATCCTCCAATAGTCATATGGGTCTTGCTCCGGTGAATATATTCCACGGAACGCCTCACTTTAATTACTGACCCTGTTGCAGCAATTAGTAATATTGAACCCCATATTAACTAATCACTGTGTAGTAGCTATTTTGAGCCAGAAAGGAAACTTAAATTTACCAAATAGAATTATGTAAAAGTATATTCTTATCTAATACCCTTTATAGCAGTGATGGCGAACCTTTTTGAGCCAGAGTGCCCAAACCGCAATACATGCCAACTTTTTTTTCCTCAAAGTGCCAACACGGAAATTAAACCTAAATACTGAGGTTTAAGTTGTGAAAAAATAACTTGTACAGTTGTCCAAACTAATTAACAACTTTTGTTTTAAAAGAACACAACAACAGAGTTCAATGATACAAATTTTAAATAATGGATAAAATTAAGCTTATATTTATTAGTATCTCCAACAAATGTAATACATACACACACAGACTGCTGAATACATACATACACGCAGACTGCTGAATACACACACACGCAGACTGCTGAATACACACACACACGCAGACTGCTGAATACACACACATACTGCCTTAAGGGTTGCAGTGTATGTGTTTGTGTGTGGGGTGCTGTGTGTGTTGTGTGCGGTGTGTGAGGGGTGCTGTGTCTGTGTGTGTTTGTGTGAGGGGTGCTGTGCTGCGTGGGGAGGTAGGGATGCTGTGCTGCGTGGGGAGGTAGGGATGCTTTGCTGCGTGGGGAGGTAGGGATGCTGGGCGGGGGGCGGGGGTAAGGGGTGCTCTGTGTGTTGGGGGTAGGGGTGCTGTGTGCGTAGGGGCACTGTATGTGTGGTGGGGTAGGGGGGTAGGGGTACTGTGTGTGGGGGGGTAGGGGTAAAAAATATATATATATATATATTAAGTCTGTATCCCCCCCCTTCCTCCCTCCCTCCTTCTTACCTTTGATGAAGGAGAGGGGACACAACCTTCCCTGGTGGTCCGGTGGTGGTAAGTACACTGAATTTTAAATCGCATTACGCATGTCCTGCATTTCGCGATTCCACAGTGGAAATAAACGTAACCTGTACGAGTGTTCCACCGCCAGGACTTCCCAGCTAGTGCCCAAATGCGCACCATCGTCTGCCCGGCACCTGTTTCGGTGTAGACGGAAGTAATACAACTCGGGGAGATACAGCTGTCTGGTGTGTTATACCTGGCTGATCTCTGAAAAATGTATTTAAAAGAAGTAGAGCCTCCAGAGCCTCAGCCCTCTCACCATACTTCTATGGAGAAAACCTGAACCTGACACCCTCCTCTGCAGGAGGCAGGCAAAGAACTGGGGATGTCTTGGGTAGGAAGCAATTTATAAGGCTAAAGGTTAATTGGGGGAGGTTCTTGAAAAGTTTGGGAGATTGCCTGCATGTTTTTTTCCCCTCCAGGTGATGAAATCCCAGTTGTAAAGCACTGCCTCTAATCTGAAGGGAAAATGTATATATTTTTTTTCCCCCACCCAACACAAAAATTGCTCTTTCACTGATTAAATCATCATTTATCTACATTTACTGTTTTAAGAACTCATTTGTTTTCAGCGAAGTCTTTTCGAGTACAACATTAACCCACATTTACAGGTTTGATGGGGAAAGTTACAGGGTAAAATATAGAGTTTGCAAATTAAATTCTCTAGACTTTCTGCCTGGGTTGTCAGACAGGTCCCTCAATATATAATTAATGAAATAACAGAATTATGTAAAAATTACAGACAAAGATACACGTATCATATATATGAGAAAAATTAAACAGCAATTTCAAGTCTTACAGAATGTAATATTTCATATATATCATATATCTCATTTTAAGTGTATTTTTGTATTTTGTAAATTGTGATTGAACACAGCAAAATTGGCAAAAAAATTGATTT